TAACACATTCAGCAATATGGCTGGATACAAAATTAAATCAAAAAAATCAATAGCCCTATTATATACCAAAGAGAAAAGGGTTGAGTAAGAAATTAGGGAAACAACACCTTTACAATAGCCACTAATACATAAAGTGCCTCAGTGTGACTCTAACCAAGCAGGTGAAAGACTTGTGTGGAAAAACAAACAAACAAACAAAAAACAAATCTTCAAGTCTCTAAAGAAATAAATTGAAGAAGATATCAGAAGATGGAAAGTTCTCCCATGCTCATGGATCGGTAAGATTAACATAGCGAAAATGGCCATCCTGTGGAAAGCAATCCACAGATTCAATGCAATTCCAATCAAAATACCAACATAATTCTTTACAGCCTTTGAAAGAACAATCCTCAAATTCATATGGAAAAACAAGAAAACCCAGAACTGCCAGAAAGATCCTGTATAAGAACAGATTGTCTCATCTCAAGCTGTGCTACAGAGCAATAGTATTAAAAACTGCATGGTATGGGCAAAGGAACAGAATGGTGGGTTAATGGAACCAAATAGAAGACCCTGAAAAAATTCACACACCTATGGACACTTGCTTTTTGACAAAGAACCCAAAACCATACAATAGAAAAAGGACAGCATCTTCAACAAATGGTGCTGGTCTAACTGGATATCTACATGTTAAAAAATACAATTTTTATCAACCTAAACAAAACTAAGGTCCAAGTGGATCAAACACCTCAACATAAAACAAGACACATTAAATCAGCTAGAAGACAAAGTGGGAAGAGCCTAGAACTCATTGGTACAGGAGACAACTTCCTGAACAGAACACTAAGAACATGGGCTCTAAGAGCAACAATCAATAAATGGGACCTCATGAAACTGAAAAGCTTCTGTAAAGCAAAGGACACTGTTGTCAGAATAAAACGAATGCCTACAGACTGGTAAAGGATCTTCACCAACCCTATATCTGACAGAGGTCTAATAACCAGAATACATAAAGAACTCAAGAAGTTAAAAGGCAACAAATAATGTAATCCAATTAAAAAATTGGGTACAGAGCTAAACAGAGAATTCCCTATAGAGGAATATAGAATGGCAGAGAAACAAATAAATGCTTAGCATTCTTAGTTATTAGGGAGACGCAAATCAAAATGACCCTGAGATTTCACCTTACATCCATCAGAATGGCTAAGATAAAAAACTGAGCCTGATGGCCAACTGTCGGGCAGAGTGAATGGAATTTTATGTAAGAAGTGGGAAATAGTAAGAGCTGGAGAGGACAGGAACTCCACAAGGAGAGCAACAGAACAAGAAAATTTGAACACAGGGGACTTCCCAGAGACTCATACTCCAACCAAGGACTATTCATGGAGATAACCTAGAACCCCTGCACAGATGTAGCCCATGGGAGTTCAGTGTCCAAGTGGGTTACATAGTAATGGGAAGAGGGACTGCCTCTGACATAATCTGATCGGCCTGCTCTTTGATCACCTCCCCCTGAGGGGGGAGCAGCCTTACCAGGCCACAGAAGAGGACAATGCAGCCACTTCTGATGAGAACTGATAGACTAAGATCAGAAAGAAGGAGAGGAGAACCTCCCCTATCAGTGGACTTGGGGAGTGCCATGCATGCAGAAAGGGGAGGGAGGGTGGGATCGGGAGGGGAGGAGGGAGGGGCTTATGGGGGGATATAAAATGAATAAAGTGTAATTAATAATAATAATAATAAAATATAAAATAAAAGAAAAACCTCAAGTGACAACACATGCGGGAAAGGTTGTTGAGAAAGGGGAACCCTCCTCCATTGCTGGTGGAAATGTAAACTTGTACAACCACTTTGGAAATCAATTTGGTGCTTTCTCAGACAGTTACAAATAGCACTTCCTAAAGATCCAGCCATACCACTCCTAGGCATATATTCAAAAGATGCTCAAGTATCCAATAAGGACATTTGCTCAACCATGTTTGTAGCAGCTTTATTCCTAATAGCCAGAACTTGGAAACAACCCGGATATCCCTCAACTAAGGAATGGATACAGAAATTGTGGTACATTTACACAATGGAATATTACTCAGCAATTAAAAACAAGGAAATCATGAAATTTGCAGGCAAATGGTGGGATCTAGAAAAGATCATGCTGAGTGAGGTATCCCAGAAGCAAAAAGACACACAGGGTATATACTCACTTTTAAGTAGATACCGGACCTATACTATAGGATAAACATACTGACATCTGTACACCTAAAGAAGCTAAGCAAGAAGGAGGTCCCCGAGTAAGAGGATCAACCCTCAGTTAGAAAGACAAACAGGATGGAGTTTGAAAGAAGGAGAAAATAGGAAACAGGACAGGAGCCTACCACAGAGGGCCTCTGAAATACTCTTCCCAGCAGTGTATCAAAACAGATGCTGAGACTCTTCACCAATCTTTGGCAGAGTGCAGGGAATCCTATGAAAGTAGGGGGAGATAGTGGGACATGGAGGGGACAGGAGCTCCACAAGGAGAGCAACAGAACCAAAATATCTGGGCACAGGGTATTTTCTGAGACTGATACTCCAAGGAAGGTCCATTCATGGATATAATCTAGAACCCCTGCTCAGATGTAGCCCATGGCAGCTCAGTATCCAAGTGGGTTCCCTGGTGAGGGGAGAAGGGACTGTCTCTGACATGAACTCAGTGGAGGGTTCTTTTACCACCTCCCCCCACTTTGGCGGGAGCAGCCTTGCCAGTCCACAGAAGAGGACAATGCAGCCAGTCCTGATGAGACCTGATAAACTCAGGTCAAATGGAAGGGGAGTAGGACCTCCCCTACCAGTGGACTTGGAGAGGGGAATGGGAGAAGATGAGGGAGGGAGGGGATTTGTGTGGGAGGAAGGGAGAGGGCTGAGGCTAAGACACAAAGTGAATAAAGTGTAATCAGTATAAAAATAAAAATTTAATTAAGTATTCATAAGGAATTTTAAGACTTGATTTTCTCTGAATAGCCAAATGTTCTTGAAAAGTAAGATTCAAGCAGGAGACCCACAGTTTCAAATTGTAAGATTTGCTGTGAAGTTATAAATATAAAGACAATGTGACACAAGCATAATGCTTATGGAATAAATCTGAATTGAGAAATAAACCTAGATGAATCTATAGTTGATTTATTTCATTTGTTTATTTAAACCTTAAAATTATTTTTAAACTTTTCACTGGTTGTTGGTGAATTTCACATCAATCCCCTTCATCTTCACTTCCCTGCGTACCCACCCTTCACCCTTGCAACCCTTGCAAATATATATATATATTTGTGTAAGATGTAGTATGTCATAGTGTATCCCACTGTTTTGGCCACTCTTTTTTGCTTGCATCATTGCAATTATGTATTTGTCTGGTAATAGGCCTCTGGCTTCTGCTACTCTATCAATACTAGAATGTCACGGAGACTCCTCTAGGATATCATGTTATTGCCCTGTGCAATAGCGTTCCTGGAGTTTTAGATCTGTAGGACCAGCCTCTTCATGCACTCCAGCAGTTCCAGTTCATGGATGGGGCATATGATGGGATGGGTTTGGGCCTGAGAACTATCTGAGCTGGTCAGTCTGTAGATTCTCCTGCACTTACACCTTTGGGGCTCGCTGACTAGCAACCTCTGTAACCAGGGCCAGCTCTACCCTGCTGCCAAGACAAGGTTCGGAGCCTGTTCTCCTGAGTTTTGGAGCTGGTGAGGGACAGGACAAGTTCTCGCACTCTCATGACCTGGGAACAGCTTTCCCACCATTCATAGATGGCAAGGGATGAGAGAGGGGAGGAGGGCATCTCTCCTTCATTTGGGCCACTGCTCGAAAGGCAAGGGGCAAGGTCAGCTTTCACCCTCAGGGCCAGCTCACCTGCCACACCGACACCCAGGGCCAGCTCTACTGTGATGCCCACGTGAGGTGCAGGACATGCTGTCTCAAGTACTTCAGCAGGTGTGGGCCAGGGCCAAGTCATTTGCTTTCAAGACCCCAGGGCCAGCTCTCCTGCCTGCTGTAGGCGGCAAGGGGTGAAGGTTGGGGAGGACATCTCTCCCTCACCCATGTTGACACACAGCAGACAAGTTGCCGGGCCATCTTTCCCATGCTCAAACCCTCAAGGTTGGCTCACCCATGCTTCTGCCTGAAGAGTCAGTGTTACTGTGCTGCTGCCCAGGTAAGGTACATGGCCTATTCTCCTGAGTTCTGCAGCTTGTGAAGGTCAGGCACAGCTATCCTGCTCTCATGACCCCAGGGTCCACTCTCCCACCTGCTTCAGGTGGTGAGGAGCAATGGACAAGAAGGGTATCTCTCTTGTCCACACTACCACATGGGAGACAAGTGTTAGGGCTAGCTCTCTCATGCACATATCCTCAGAGTCCGCTCACCTGCAACTCCTGCAGTGTGCAGGGCCACTCTCCCAAGTACTTCAGCTGGCTAGGGGTGGGATCAGCTTTCCTGCTCTTAAGCCTCTACGGCTAGCTCTCCCACAATATAGGTGAGAGGTAGAGCCAGTTCTGCATAGCCATCAGAAACCAACATGTTCTGGGATGGCTGCATAAGCCAGAGCCACCTGTCTGGCCTTCGGTAGTAACAGACCTCTGCTGATGCAGCTCCACAGACCCAGACATGGTCCTCGGTGGAAGCACAGACCAGGACCCCACCATTGTTCCTGGTAGCATCACCAGCTACTTACATCAGGCTGTTCCCCACTATCCTATAGTCTCCAGTTCTGCCTTTCTTCATTGTGCACACATCCTTCTGCTTCTCTTTCTCTTCCATTTCTCTACCACTCACTTGTGCCCTTTAGTGGTGCCTAGGGTCTCTGAGTATCTGGGGTTGTCTCAGGAGTGGTCTCACGAGTGCCATACCCAACTCATACATTATGGTGCTGGGCCAGGTTTGCCCCCTGACAGGTTTGCTCAGTACCGGACTGGTGGTGATGTCAGCCTAGCTCCCTATCTGGCCCCCATGGCACTGGACTGGTGGCCATCATGGGCTTGCTATTTACAGGGAATGCTAGGCTATTAATCTTTCAGATGTTCACAGGTCAGAACACTGAGTATAAACATAGTTTCTCTCTTCTCTGCTACCTACTGACATACATGTGACACAGCAGCCACACCTGCAATACTTCCAGGGCAGGTTAAAAGTGTTTTAATACTGGTTTATTTCTATGTGTGCAAGTGTTTCCTTGTGTTTATGAAGGCCATAAAAGGACATCATATAGCATGTAACTGGATATATATATATATATATATATATATATATATATATATATATATATA